AGAGCTGACAGAAGGGAAGAGGGGAAGGCCACCCTCCCTGGCTCAGACACCAGGCACCTCCCCAACTTTCCAGGGCTCCCCCTGAGCCTCTCCTGGCCCCGCTCGCGCCGTGCAGCTGCCCTCAGCTCCAGCACCTCCCCTGAAGCCCGTCCCATAGCCCCAGGTCTCCCCTAGGACCTGTTGTGAAGGTGACAAGCTGGCCCTCGAACGTGCTTGATTCTCCCTTAACGTGGGTGCCGTTAGCAGCAGTGCAGGGAAAGAGCAGCATCTCCAGAAGCCCCTGCGGAAGGAGGGGATTCGGCCAGGGGCGAGCTATGGTAGTAACGGTGGCTGCTTCTTCTTTCCCTCTCCCAGAAGCCACGCTGAGGACGCGGTTCTCCGTTCCTCCCCTGGGGATGCCATTGACTGCACCCGCCTCAGGCTTGCGTGGGTTGTCTCTGCCCGGCCTCGCTCTCCTTGCAGTGTGGGGGTGAAAAGGAACAGGCAGAGCACTTGCTGGCTGTGGACAGGAGCTGCTGTGGCTGAAGCTGGAGAGGGCAGAGGAAGGGAAAGAAGACAAAATTGAAGGCCACCCGTCCGGCACCTGCCTCCAGCTGCAGGCAAGAGAGAGCCTGCCTCTCCGGGTGAGGAAGGATCCCTCTTCGTAGTCCGCAGCAGGCTGGGCCACCAGCATGCACCGCAGGGTCCGTATGCATCACCAACAGCGCAGTACAGCCACGTAGTGCACGAGCAAGCAAGGCTACGTGCTCCCTTCCTCTCTCCCTTTCTCTCTCTCTTGTTCTACCGCTCCATTTTCTTTTTCTCTCTGCGCTTTTGTCCTGCTTCCTCTCCCTCTTTTTTCTTCATCCTCTGTCCTGCACCCATCGCTGCTTTTTCCTTTTCCATGTCTTTGTCCTGATCTGCATCTGTCTCTTTTATCCCACAATTTCTCTGGCCTCTTCCCTGGTGTTCTTCTTCTCTCTGCACCTGTACATGCCGCTCCATGTTCCTGCCTTCCTCTCTCTCTCTCCCCTTCCTTCTCTTTCTCTCTCTATCCCTTTGTCTCGCTCACTGTCGCTGTTTAATTCTGTATCTCACTGTCCCCGTCCTTCTTCCTGTTCATCTCTTACTCTCTCTGACCCTTTGTGCTGCTCCCTTGCATCCCACTCCCACCCCCCTCCGTCTGTCTCTATCACACTGTCTTGTTCCCCATCCCTCTCTTTTTCTTTCTACCCCTCTGATGTGTGTCTCCCCCAACCCTCCCTTTTACATGTCCTGGTCTTTCTCTCTACATCCTTCTGTCATTCTCCTCTTGTTCTTTTTCTCTCTCTTCCTCTATCCTGCTGCCCATCACTATTTTTTCCTCCTCCATCCCTTTGTCCTGCTCCCTGTCCTTGTCAATCTTTCCCTTTGTTCTGCCTCCAGTCTTTGTTTTCTCCATACCTGTCTTTTTCCCTGTACCTTTTCCTCTCTGCTCCTCAGCCCTTCTCCCTCATCTTATTTTTCTCTTTCTGCCATGCCTCTCTT